TTTTATTTTTTGGGGAATTTAGGAAACCCTGACTCGTTTGCCTAAGGCCACGTGTCCGTTATCACCAAAGTTGCCTCGGCTCGGGAACTTGGGTACGAGAGGGGAAGGTCATGCAATGAGCACCCCCGCTCGCCCCATCAAAGATCGGCCTTTACTATCATGATATGTTGTTTTTGAAAACGCATGTGTTCTTATTCCGGTTTATTAGCTAGCTTACTACGTGATGCGCACAGCATACAAGTATAGACTAGATTGCCTAAGTTGGAACAAAACATCTCATGTTTGTTTGTTTGAAAATGGTTTGAAGGTGCTACTCACAAGTAGGCTAAGTCGTGGATTTTGCCACCCTCAAGTGGGCTTAGAAAACATGATTTTGCCACTCCGCAAAGTGGGCTTAAAACTCGCATTTCGATAAATTGTTCAAATTCAAGCAATCCAACCTTCACCCACAGGCATTCAAGCAGTTAAACACTTAAGTAGTTAGCCTCATGGCAAGCATGCTAACATGGCAACATACACATCTCATGCAATATGCTAAAGCGTAAACACTCACAGTGTACTCCGAGCCAAAACAAAGAACTAGTTAGAAATCATGCATGACCCTGGTTCATGTTAAGAATGCATAATGCAACACATGCAAAAATACAACTAAGATAGGCTCGGCTATTGTAAGATGGCATATGAAATGCACCTTGATAACATGCTGTTGAACACGTATTCAAGTAAATGTATTGAAATACAATGCGGTTTGTATGATGCGCCGAGCCCGGTGCATGCAAGACAAATGAATGAATGCAAACATGTGAAGCATAAATATGCTAATTGAAACCTGTCCTAAAACTAACCATCAAAAGCGGTTAAGCAAAAGGGAGAAAGACGTGGGGTTGAAAGACATTACCACACTCACGCATACTTATTACAAAATTCGCCCTCTCGACGGAGGGTTCGAATGAATGATAGCTAAGCTAATTAAACTAATTATTACAAACCAACTGATCAAATGAATTAATTTTAAGTTACGACACCAAATGCTAATTAACAAATAAAGCACTAAATCAGGCTGCCTCAGCTCTGCCTTGAATAAGAAAAGATGCATGCTCTCGATTCCCGTCCCAAAAACCTCTCCAAATACTCTTTAGAGGCTCTGTCTGCAAGGTGTCCTTGAGAACTAGCTGCTGGATCTTACCAAAACAGTGCTGGGGAGTGCACCAGTGGCCTGTCGGTCATGAGAAGCTGCTGCTGACCCCCCTGCTGACCAAGAGTGCACACTGCCGACCAAGGATGAAGGGCTGCTGGGCAGAAATAAGAGGGTGCCGGCCACTGATGTGCTGGGACACCAAGCTGCAGCAGAGCACAAAATAGAGAAAAGGGAGGGTCTCCCAAGGATATGTACATACTATGCCACTCCATATCACTTCAAAACATCAATGGAATGGGCATCATTGGATCCAAGGCCATCAATTGCGCATCTCGATGCATGATGGCCAAAGATCCAACATGTGCAAATTCAATAAATGCATGACAAATAAGACAGCAAGACCATCTCTAGCAAAGCCATTTGCACTATAGCCCTACAAGACAAGCCATATATAACCAAGACCACTTAAAAATGTGCTGGAGCAAAGCTAACACATGCTAGAATGATGAACTAAAGCATGGAGCATGTTAGGCCAAACAAGCATGATTGCACTACAAGTACCAAAAGCATGCAAGCAATAGCCAAACCAGCCTAAAACAGAGTTATGGAAGGTCTAAAAAGTCACAAAAATGAGCCTAAACAAAGCCATAAAGAAGTAAAAATACATGCTCATTTGGTTGGCCATCAACACAAGTAAACAAGAGAAGAGGAGGGAGGACAACCCCCTCCTATTTTGAGCCTCAAAACATCAATGTACTCATTTGATGCCATCTCAGAGAAAGGTATATGATGCTGAGGGTATAAATATTGACATAGCTGATGAGAGTGGAATATCTCTTAAGGCTTCACATGATCTTATTAGTGCTATAGCAGGAGGGAAGGAATTTGTAGGGTTCACGCGAGAGGATCAGAAAACCTACTTACGTGCAAAAAGACAGCGGAACTTGCAGTATGGCGAAACGGGGAGTTTGTTAAGATATTTCCAGCAGCAAGTGGCAGAAAATCCATATTTTTACTATGCCATTCAGTTGGATGTAGATGAGATGATTACTAATATTTTTTGGGCTGATCATCAGATGATAACAGATTATGGGCTTTTCGGTGATGCGGTGTCATTCGACACAACTTTCGAACAAATAAGGAGTACCGTCCACTTGCTTTATTTTCTGGCTTTAACCACTTTAGAATGACAGTGATTTTTGGTGCAACATTATTATATGATGAAACTGTAGAGTCATTTGAATGGTTATTTGAAACATTTTTTGATGCAATGTCAGGAAAAAAGCTTGTTAGTTTTTTCACAGATCAAGATCAAGCAATGGCTAAGGCAATTTCACAAATCATGCCTGAGGTTTTTCATGGGTTGTACACTTTTCACCTAACGCAAAATGCTTTGAAGCATTTAGGTTACTTGTTCAAGAGTGGTTCAAAATTTAGTAGCGATTTAAAAGCTTGCATTTATGACTACGAGAATGAGCATGAATTAATTGAAGCTTGGAATTCTTTGATTGATAAATACAACTTGCAAGAGAATGAGTGGATGAAAAGAACTTGGAGAACAAGAGAGCAGTGGGCGCATGTGTATATGAAGTGGGTATTTACTGGAGGAATGCGAAGCACACAACTTAGTGAAAGTAAGGGGATATTTGAAAGGTGATGATAACATTCTTCAATTCTTTACTCACTTCAATCGGATTGTTGTAGATAAGTGGTATGAGGAAATTTCTGCAATATATGACTCTAGACAAAAGTTGCCAAGAATGAAATTGAAAAAGTCTCCCATTTTAATCCAAGTTGCGAGTTTGTACACCCCTTCTATCTTTGATTTATTTCATTGTGAGTTGGATACGTCCCTTTGTTGTCAAGTGAAGCAATTTCATGAGTTAGAAGGAGAAGGTAAGTGCGTGATTGGCTTGTATGGTAATGGTAAAGAGTATATTGTGGAGGGTAGGGTGGAAGTTATTGGGCTAAGAGGAGAAAAAAGCTGTCAAGAAATACATTGTACTTGTAAGAAATTTGAGAACTTTGGAATTTTATGTAGTCATGCAATCAAAGCATTTGATAGAATGAATGTTATGAAAATTCCCAAAAGGTATATATTAGGCCGATGGAGATTGGATGCAAAAGATTGTGAAGTTGAAGAGAAAAATGTTGTAGTGGATGAGGATGATCCGAAGTTGTTAATATTAGCACGTTATAGAGATCTTTGTCCAAGAATGGTGAAACTAGCAACTCAAGCATCTATGCACAAACCTGCCTATCAATTGGTTGATGAAGGAATTAAGGAATTATGTGTAAAAGTAAATAATATGATTAAGGGAGTTGAAAATTTTGGTACCAATGAATTAGATGTGGACGACCCCAACTTTGCACAAGTTAAGGGCATAAAGAAGAAAGATGTTGGACACAAAGGGAGGGGTAGATTAAAACCTTGGCATGAGATGATGAATAAGAAGACAAAAGTTATTTCACAACCTACCCGCCTTAGTAAGGTATTACCTACGTACTTTTGAAATTTCAAATGACATGTATTTATTTTTATAAATTGTGTAAAGTATTGATAACTTTTTGAATTTCTTTAGACTATTGGTCAATCAAGCAACACTACAAATGTTCAAAATTCATCCTCAAGCCAACAACAGGTTAGCTATTGTTTTATGTTATTTATTTATTTATTATTATTATTATTATTATTTTATAAATTGTGTAATGTATTGATAAATTTAACAACTTATGTAGATTATTGGTCAATCAAGAAACACTACAAATGTTCAAAATTCAGCCTCAAGCCAACAACAGGTTAGCTATTGTTTTATGTTACTTATTTTTTTTTATTATTATTTTTTTTATAAATTGTGTAATGTATTGATAAATTTAACAACTTATGTAGACTATTGGTCAATCAAGCAACACTACAAATGTTCAAAATTCATCCTCAAGCCAACAACAGGTTAGCTATTGTTTTATGTTACTTATTTTTTTTTATTATTATTTTTTTTATAAATTGTGTAATGTATTGATAAATTTAACAACTTATGTAGACTATTGGTCAATCAAGCAACACTACAAATGTTCAAAATTCATCCTCAAGCCAACAACAGGTTAGCTATTGTTTTATGTTACTTATTTTTTTTTATTATTATTTTTTTTATAAATTGTGTAATGTATTGATAAATTTAACAACTTATGTAGACTATTGGTCAATCAAGCAACACTACAAATGTTCAAAATTCATCCTCAAGCCAACAACAGGTTAGCTATTGTTTTATGTTACTTATTTTTTTTTATTATTATTTTTTTTATAAATTGTGTAATGTATTGATAAATTTAACAACTTATGTAGACTATTGGTCAATCAAGCAACACTACAAATGTTCAAAATTCATCCTCAAAGAATAGGTCATTGTGCATGCCTCTTTGTTTAAGTCCTTGGGCTGCCATATCAGTGGATTTTGAGGCTCTTTTTGGTATATTATAGCTCTGTTTTTCTTTGAATAATCCATGCCATGTGTGGTTAAGGTAGTTGTAGTGGAGTGCTCTCTTTGTGGCTTTGAATGCCCCTCATTTTTGCGCCCATTTCCTAGCATGTTTTGGCCTCATCCCATGCATGTTCTAGCCTTATTTTGGCCTGCCATGGGACTGTTTTGGGTCACCTTGGTCCTTTGGGGCTTGGTTGATATGGCCATGGTTCAAGTCCTTTGGCTAGCTTTGAGCTTTAAGTCCATTAGCATGCCATGCTTGTCTTGTTTAGTTGATTTGGCATCACTCTTAACATGATTTCAGAGCTTATTGCATTGTCATATTCTTATGTTTATCACATCTCACTCATATTTGAGGATTGTGCATTGTTGCATAGTTTGTGGATCAATGTGTGAACATGCGTGTTTTGCCTTTTCGGCGCCTTAATTCATCACTTTGGCTACTGTTTTGGACGTGGCTGAGGTCTTCCCACTATGGTCTAAGTCCATCTTTGTATATAGCCGCATGCTTAACATGGTACATCTTGTCGCATACTTGCTAGTTTACTTTTTGTCACATGCTTGTGTAGGTTGCTTTGCATTTAGCATGCTCGCTACTTTAGCCTTTGTGTGCATGCTTGAGCCATGTTGCACTTGGCATATTCATGTTACATTGCATTACTTTGAGTTGGCATGCTCATGTTGCATTGTTTGCATGCATTGCACTATATTTGGCATACTTGCATGCATTGCATTGGGTTTGGTTTGGGGTGTCAAACCAAACATGAGGAATGAGGGACGAAACGTATGCCTTGCATTGTATTGGGTTTGAGTTGGCATGCTCATTCATATTTATTTGCACACTTGACATCTTTGGCTATCATGCATCGAAATGCGTGATTGGTGGCCCGAGGGTCAGGAGTCATACTTCATTGAGTTCATAGCATGATAGAGAGGGTGGTGGTCGTGCATACATTTGGCTTGCAAATTCCAGGCCATGCACTGTCTGTCCTCTGTTGCAGCAACACCAGTGTTCTGCAAGAAGAAATGGCTGGTCGGCAACTTTCAGTGCCGGCCGACTACCAAAATCGTGCCGGTGATCCCATTTTTGGTCGATCACCATATTTCCATGGCCGGTGGTGTTTTCTCTTGGCCGGTGGCATCCCAAAGTTCTTAGGGAGTGGTTCAGAAGCAATCTTAGGATTTTCACAATTCTCAGAGGTGCAGAACAGTGCAAACTGAGGCAACAGAGGCATGGCAATGGGTTTCTGAGCAAGGCGAATCGAGCATGCATTATCCAATCATTTCGAGGCGGAGCTGCGGCGGCCTCTTTAATTTTATACTTAGATTGTTTTGTAATTAATTTGTTAATTACTTAAGGGCTTTGTAATATTTAATTAGCTAGGGTAGGTGATTAATTATTCGGTCTGTATTATTTATTCGGACCCTCCGAGAGAGGGCAACGTTGTAATAAGTGTGTGTGCGTGTGTGAATGTCTTCCAACCCCACGTCTTTCTCCCTTTTATTTACTAGCTTTTGATGGTTAGTTTAGGGCATGTTCCAATTAGCATACTTATGCTCGCTTGTTTGCATCCATTTATCTGTCTTGCATGCACCGGGCTCGGCGCATCATACTAACTGCATTGTATTTCAATTCCGAGTTGAATACGTGTATCTTTTGTTGCATTTCATATGCCATTTTAGAATAGCTGAGCCTATCTTAGTTGCATTCTTGCATGTGTTGCATTAGGCATCACAGCATAGTTAGGATTCATGCATATTTTCTAATTAGCTTCTTTCTTTGGCTCAGAGTACTAGGTAAGTATTTATGCTTTAGCATCCTTGCATGCGTGTGAGTGACTGCTATGATAGTATGCTTACCATGAGGCTATTTGCTTATGTGATATAACTGCCTGAATGCCTGTGGGTGAAGGTTGGGTTGCTTGAATTAGAATAATTCGTCGAAACCCGTGTTTTAGCCTACTTGCGAGTAGCAAACTTCAATCCATTTTCAAAACAAACGGATATGCGATGCTTTGTTCCAACTTAGGCAATCTAGTCTATACTTGTATGCTGTGCGCATCACATAGTAGGTCTAGGTTAATAACCGGAATAAGAGCACATATGTTTTCAAAACTCGATATCATGCTTAGTAGTGACCGATCTTTGATCGGGCGAGCGGGGGTGCTCATGAAATGACCTTCCCCAATCGTACCCAAGTTCTCGAGCCGAGGCAACTTTGATGATCACGGACACGTGGCCTTAGGCACGAGTCAGGGTTTCCTAAATTCTCCTAAAATAAAATATTTAGGTGGCAACTCTGTATCTGGCAAAACAGTCCATATTTGGCACTTCTTTCTAAAAATCAGTTTTTCAAAACGATTTGCCGGATTTGGACTCTTTGATGATTCATCGGTCTTGCATTGCACTCCGCGAGATTAGATACAGGACCATGACATTGAGTCCGAACTGTAGTAAGCCCAAATGAACAAAACGGGATTCCCTCCCGAGACATTCGGAGACGTCTACAATGCCTTGGCAAACTAGTTGTACATCTCCACTTCTATGCACAAAAGGGCAAGAGAGAGAGAAATCTAGAGAGAGAGGCAGAGGTTTGGCTCTAAAAATTGTAGAGAGAGAGGGAGTTTAGTGAGAGAAGCTCTCAAACTTTCTTAAGAAGTTCTAACCCTCGAATATGAGATATAAGGCTTCATTATATAGAGAAAATGGAGTATTTGGTCGAAAATATCTCAAGAGAGACAGCTGGAGCAAAATATCTGTCCAAAACTGATCTTTTCATCAATGGCCGGCACCTTTACCATTGTTGGTCGGCAGCACACTATTATTAGCCGGCATGGGCCATTCTTGGACGGCATTGGCCATTCATGGCCGGCACACTCCCATAGAGGCCAGCAGCAAAAATCAGTCCTAGTCCTCGACTTAAAGCAAGCCTAACTCCTTCATATGGATGCCTTTTCAGGTCATTCTTTGTGTAAATTGAAGCCCCAAAAGTAATCTTTCCAATGGTGGCAGCCTTGCATCAAAATTCCAACTGTGCAAAAAGTTATGCCTATTTTGGTGAAGCCGCGCAGCTTTGGTCCTACCCGGATTCATGCCGAACTTCTCCTAAACTAGTTTTCTTCTCTCCTTTCCCATTTTCTTCTACTCCAAACCCCTAATTAAGGTGTTTTGAAAGATTTTTCAAAGAGTTGACCTCTCTCTCATTCATTTCCACTTTGTCCTTGCTCGGTTTACTGAAAAGTGCAACATTTAACGAAATGTGAGCCTCAGAGCATCGCAAAAACCTTTTTAAAATATTTTGAAAGAGAGGGTTTTAAGGTCTAAAAACCATTCAAAATAGTTTTGGTCCAAAATGGGGTATGAAGTTGGGATTTGACTCTCTCATTGCCGAAGAAACTGAACCTTTGCCCTGCACACTTTTCACCACCAAGTAAACCATCAGTAGTGTCCAAGTCTTAAGGGCGGTCAAAAATGGGGTGTCTACAAATACCCGCATCCAACAATTTTAATACCTCATTTTTCACCACCTCTTTCATATTGGGATTAAGCCTCTGTTGCACTTCATGAGAAGGTTTGGTGTCCTCCTCTAGGTGTATATAATGCATGCACATGGAGGGATTTATCCCCTTCAAATTAGCCACCGACCAACCTATAGCACTCTGATATGCCACGAGAACAATCATTAACTGACTCTCCTGCTCTGCAATCAAGTCAGATGCAATGATGATTGGTAAAGTATCCTGGGGTCCTAAAACTGCATACTTGAGTATGGTCGGGAGTGGCTTCAACTCAAGCGTAGGTGGTGTGACCAAAGATTGTATGGCAGGCTCTCTCGACAGAGGAGGAAGTGACTCAAATCGGGCTTTCCGCGGAGGAAAAGCAGGTGTAGAAGAAGCATTAAGCAAGGCATTCATCTCCTCAACCGACCTGTCAATATCAAAATTTTCAAACCCAAAATGAGCTAGACAAGCCTTTAGAGGGTCCTTTACAAGAATGGAGGGCAAAGCTTCCTCCACAATCCCATCCACAACATCAACAAATAAGCATTCCTCTCTCTCATGGGGTTATTGGGATGCTTGGAAAACATTAAGTTTCACTTGCATGCATTGGCCGTAGCCAAGAAAGGTCGACCTAAGATCACTGGGATTTGTTTCCTAGAACTGGCTACTGGTTCCATATCTAACACCAAAAAGTCAACAGGAAAGTAAAACCTATCAACCTTTACTAGCACATCCTCAATCATGCCACGTGGCACTTTGAGGGATCGGTCAGCCAACTGGAGAGTAATAGTAGTGGGCTTCAACTCGCCAAGTCCAAATTCCTCGTACACAGAGTACGACAGCAAATTGACACTAGCTCCTAAATCTAATAAGGCCCTATCAATGAAATGGTCCCCTATAATGCATGCAATAGTTGGGGCACCTGATTCTTTAAGCTTAGGGAGTGTGTCATTCAACAAGATGAAGCTTACTTTATCCTTGAGTATGACCTTTTGGGACACGTGTGTCCTAGATTTACGCTTTTGCGTACAAAGGTCCTTCAGAAATTTAGCACAGGAGGGTACTTGCTTAATTGTCTCCAATAGGGGGAGATTGATTTTCACTTGTTTAAAGACCTCCATTATTGCTTCCATGGATGCCGCCTTCTTATTAAAAGGGGACGGTGTATCAAGGCATTGGGGAAAGGGTGCCTTAGGCAAATATGAAATGCTAGGGACTAAGTCATCCCTCTTAGGTGTTTCCCCCTTACCCTTTCCCTCATTGGGTGGACCAT